TTATACTCGTAGGTGCTTTAAAGAGCACATCAAATGCTCATTGTCAGGTGTATATCAGTATGTAGTGTCTCTACTTTAAAGAGTCCTCTCCTGCTGATGTTCAGGTGTATATCAGTATGTAGTGTCTCTACTTTAAAGAGTCCTCTCCTGCTGATGTTCAGGTGTATATCAGTATGTAGTGTCTCTACTTTAAAGAGTCCTCTCCTGCTGATGTTCAGGTGTATATCAGTATGTAGTGTCTCTACTTTAAAGAGTCCTCTCCTGCTGATGTTCAGGTGTATATCAGTATGTAGTGTCTCTACTTTAAAGAGTCCTCTCCTGCTGATGTTCAGGTGTATATCAGTATGTAGTGTCTCTACTTTAAAGAGTCCTCTCCTGCTGATGTTCAGGTGTATATCAGTATGTAGTGTCTCTACTTTAAAGAGTCCTCTCCTGCTGATGTTCAGGTGTATATCAGTATGTAGTGGTCTCTACTTTAAAGAGTCCTCTCCTGCTGATGTTCAGGTGTATATCAGTATGTAGTGTCTCTACTTTAAAGAGTCCTCTCCTGCTGATGTTCAGGTGTATATCAGTATGTAGTGTCTCTACTTTAAAGAGTCCTCTCCTGCTGATGTTCAGGTATATATCAGTATGTAGTGTCTCTACTTTAAAGAGTCCTCTCCTGTTGATGTTCAGGTGTATATCAGTATGTAGTGTCTCTACTTTAAAGAGTCCTCTCCTGCTGATGTTCAGGTGTATATCAGTATGTAGTGCCTCTACTTTAAAGAGTCCTCTCCTGCTGATGTTCAGGTGTATATCAGTATGTAGTGCCTCTACTTTAAAGAGTCCTCTCCTGCTGATGTTCAGGTGTATATCAGTATGTAGTATCTCTACTTTAAAGAGTCCTCTCCTGCTGATGTTCAGGTGTATATCAGTATGTAGTGTCTCTACTTTAAAGAGTCCTCTCCTGCTGATGTTCAGGTGTATATCAGTATGTAGTGTCTCTACTTTAAAGAGTCCTCTCCTGCTGATGTTCAGGTGTATATCAGTGTGTAGTGTCTCTACTTTAAAGAGTCCTCTCCTGCTGATGTTCAGGTGTATATCAGTATGAAGTGTCTCTACTTTAAAGAGTCCTCTCCTGCTGATGTTCAGGTGTATATCAGTATGTAGTGTCTCTACTTTAAAGAGTCCTCTCCTGCTGGTGTTCAGGTGTATATCAGTATGTAGTGTCTCTACTTTAAAGAGTCCTCTCCTGCTGATGTTCAGGTGTATATCAGTATGTAGTGTTTCTACTTTAAAGAGTCCTCTCCTGCTGGTGTTCAGGTGTATATCAGTATGTAGTGTCTCTACTTTAAAGAGTCCTCTCCTGCTGATGTTCAGGTGTATATCAGTATGTAGTGTCTCTACTTTAAAGAGTCCTCTCCTGCTGATGTTCAGGTGTATATCAGTATGTAGTGTCTCTACTTTAAAGAGTACTCTCCTGCTGATGTTCAGGTGTATATCAGTATGTAGTGTCTCTACTTTAAAGAGTACTCTCCTGCAGATGTTCAGGTGTATATCAGTATGTAGTGTCTCTACTTTAAAGAGTCCTCTCCTGCTGATGTTCAGGTGTATATCAGTATGAAGTGTCTCTACTTTAAAGAGTCCTCTCCTGCTGATGTTCAGGTGTATATCAGTATGTAGTGTCTCTACTTTAAAGAGTCCTCTCCTGCTGATGTTCAGGTGTATATCAGTATGTAGTGTCTCTACTTTAAAGAGTCCTCTCCTGCTGATGTTCAGGTGTATATCAGTATGTAGTGTCTCTACTTTAAAGAGTCCTCTCCTGCTGATGTCCAGGTGTATATCAGTATGTAGTGTCTCTACTTTAAAGAGTCCTCTCCTGCTGATGTTCAGGTGTATATCAGTATGTAGTGTCTCTACTTTAAAGAGTCCTCTCCTGCTGATGTTCAGGTGTATATCAGTATGTAGTGTCTCTACTTTAAAGAGTCCTCTCCTGCTGATGTTCAGGTATATATCAGTATGTAGTGTCTCTACTTTAAAGAGTCCTCTCCTGTTGATGTTCAGGTGTATATCAGTATGTAGTGTCTCTACTTTAAAGAGTCCTCTCCTGCTGATGTTCAGGTGTATATCAGTATGTAGTGCCTATACTTTAAAGAGTCCTCTCCTGCTGATGTTCAGGTGTATATCAGTATGTAGTGCCTCTACTTTAAAGAGTCCTCTCCTGCTGATGTTCAGGTGTATATCAGTATGTAGTATCTCTACTTTAAAGAGTCCTCTCCTGCTGATGTTCAGGTGTATATCAGTATGTAGTGTCTCTACTTTAAAGAGTCCTCTCCTGCTGATGTTCAGGTGTATATCAGTATGTAGTGTCTCTACTTTAAAGAGTCCTCTCCTGCTGATGTTCAGGTGTATATCAGTATGTAGTGTCTCTACTTTAAAGAGTCCTCTCCTGCTGATGTTCAGGTGTATATCAGTATGAAGTGTCTCTACTTTAAAGAGTCCTCTCCTGATAATGTTCAGGTGTATATCAGTATGTAGTGTCTCTACTTTAAAGAGTCCTCTCCTGCTGGTGTTCAGGTGTATATCAGTATGTAGTGTCTCTACTTTAAAGAGTCCTCTCCTGCTGATGTTCAGGTGTATATCAGTATGTAGTGTTTCTACTTTAAAGAGTCCTCTCCTGCTGGTGTTCAGGTGTATATCAGTATGTAGTGTCTCTACTTTAAAGAGTCCTCTCCTGCTGATGTTCAGGTGTATATCAGTATGTAGTGTCTCTACTTTAAAGAGTCCTCTCCTGCTGATGTTCAGGTGTATATCAGTATGTAGTGTCTCTACTTTAAAGAGTACTCTCCTGCTGATGTTCAGGTGTATATCAGTATGTAGTGTCTCTACTTTAAAGAGTACTCTCCTGCAGATGTTCAGGTGTATATCAGTATGTAGTGTCTCTACTTTAAAGAGTCCTCTCCTGCTGATGTTCAGGTGTATATCAGTATGAAGTGTCTCTACTTTAAAGAGTCCTCTCCTGCTGATGTTCAGGTGTATATCAGTATGTAGTGTCTCTACTTTAAGAGTCCTCTCCTGCTGATGTTCAGGTGTATATCAGTATGTAGTGTCTCTACTTTAAAGAGTCCTCTCCTGCTGATGTTCAGGTGTATATCAGTATGTAGTGTCTCTACTTTAAAGAGTCCTCTCCTGCTGATGTTCAGGTGTATATCAGTATGTAGTGTCTCTACTTTAAAGAGTCCTCTCCTGCTGATGTTCAGGTGTATATCAGTATGTAGTGTCTCTACTTTAAAGAGTCCTCTCCTGCTGATGTTCAGGTGTATATCAGTATGTAGTGTCTCTACTTTAAAGAGTCCTCTCCTGCTGATGTTCAGGTGTATATCAGTATGTAGTGTCTCTACATGTCTCCATGCTTTAATGTTCAAAAAGCTCTTTATTGTTCTCATACTGTCTGTGCTACAGCACCTCTTTTCACCCTCTGTCTGAAACCAGAGCTCAGTCTGCTCTGATTGGTTAGCTGGCTGGCTCTGTTGTGATTGGTCAACCGCTTAAAGATGTCCCGCCCCCTTAGCCTATCTATGACATACAATGTGTTGGATCACAATCTTGTATCCAGTATATTTAATAAGTTCTGTGACGTAATGAAAATGTAGCTACATGTTTTCCTTGATGTCCTGACTCTTTACTATTTATTTTCATTCTTATTTCCTGCTTGTTTGTAAAAGCAGAAAGCAATAGACTTCAGTGATAAAACAGCAGGTAGTTGTAATGACTAAGCCAATAATACATCTGATAGGAAATGTGTTTGAGCCATGAGCTTGAAATGCACTAATGTTAGATAATCCGTGTTCATCCTCTGGGATTAGTCATAAGGCTGACGTGCTGTTTTCGCATTACTGCATTCACCTTAAAGACTGTATGATCATCGAAATGTGTCAAACATTAACCTCTTTCGCAATATTTTGGACCAAAAACTTCCGGAGGTATTTTTACCCTTTTATGACTCGCTTATTTTTTCCAATACAGTCAGTACTCAAAACAACACCCACTCTTTATCCCAGGACAGAAGTTTCAAGATTGCTCAAATGCATGTTGACTCATATCTGAACCGGTGGGCATTTTCTTGTGACAGTGCTGTATTATCACATGACGTATGTTGTTAGATTACTAGCTTAAAATACATTTATTTGACATCCATCTGTTTTTAAAGGTGTCCCATGTCATGGCCATTTCTACTGATCATAATTCCATTGTTGAGGTCTACTAGAACAGTGATTCTCAAACTTTTTTCAATAATGTACCCCCTTTGAAAAAAAAATTCAGCCAAGTACCCCCTGATCAGCGCAAAAACAAATTGTTAGGGAAAAAGCCTATTTAAAGAGGGACAGCACAGCGCTGCACCATCGGTGTCTGATTTATTAAAACAACAACCTCGTAACTGAGAAACACTTAAATGCTACATTTCAAATGTTTACAATCCATCACTAAATTCATGGCAAACCAATTTTAACATCATGCAATAACACTGAGACGACATTAGTTGCATTTAACTGATCTTTTTAATAAGTTGTACAATTTAGTGAGAAACATGGGATTGAGCTTCACTGAGGACCTTTGTCATTCTGACAGGGAGGCCACTGCAGTTATTACACTTCACGTTTTGAAATATGTGTAACTCTGTTCATATAAAACCCACACTGCTCAAACTTCCTTACTTAAATTATTATTATTTTTTTCATTAACATAAAATAAATCTCACGTACCCCCTGCAGTACTCCAACGTACCCCCTGCAGTACTCCAACGTACCCCTAGGGGTCCGCGTGCCCCCATTTGAGAACCACTGTACTATAATAGCGAGACACAGCGAAACCCAGCCCCATGGCGCATTGATGATATACTTTCCCCATTGAAACCTACACACCTGACACCATTTGTTCATACTCCCCTAGTATAGAAAAAACATTAGGGTGGCAGAAATAGCATTTTTTGAATTGTTGTTAGCTTGTAAACATTGTGTTATTTAAGGTCATGGTACTGTACATTATGTGACTTTAGGACACGTGTGCCTCTCTTTACTCGGTACATATTTGCAGATCTTATTAACATACAGAGTTACATGTTGTCAGTTATGCAGATGTAACATTTGAGGAGCCAATAGTTGTGTACACAGTATATAAGTACGCATCGGTGCTGTTTTTTTTATCATGTAGGCATGTGCATGGCAAAGTAGCTTCTTCTTCCTCAGTTGTGTTCCCACCTTTTGTCATAAATGAGATTTTATGAGTAAATTCCACTTTTGCATAAGGTTGCATAATATTCCACGGCACAAATGTGTCATTGTATTGTTTTTACCTATTCACACAACGTGTCACAGATACAACGCAATGACTTGTTTTATGATACGCAATGATGCATCTTTAAGATAATGATTAGTACATTGACATGACATTGAACCCAGCCACCTGATGGACTACTTCAAATGAGTAAGGCCTTTATCTACAGTATACCCAGACAGACATACCCTTACTCACTGCACTATTACTGTTAATGAGGTCATAAAGGTGAGGATGACTTATACAGAACATGGACAGTGGAGTTTCAGTAATTAAGGCAGAGTATTGTTTAGTCTTGTCAAAGGTAGGAGTGATGATTCATTCCTGTGAGGCATGGGATTTTCCTTGTTGTCAAAGTGGGATTTTCCAACCCTGACTCTTAAACAATGCTTTTCCCATGAAACCAAACTGTATTCTCAATTACATGTTTTACTCTGGATTCAATCGATGTTTTAAAACGATACAAATTGAACAAAAGCTACTATTTGGTCATGTTCTGGTTTGGCTTAACTAAAGGTGTTTTTTGTCATTTAAAATGAATCAACGTAGAATTTTGGTTTCACATTTCAAACAAATACATGTCTCCTGGGTGGAAGTCTTTGACCCCTGCCGTACGCAGACCGCTGCAGATTTCTTTAGAAATGGATTTGTGAAACATCAACAAATAAACGTATCCAACATAAAATCGGCTTCCCTCTAAACTTAATTGACAATGCAGCTGTATTCCCAATATGTAGTTGTATGGGAATGTTCTTTTTTGGAAACCAAACTTGATCTTCACATATGCAGTTAATAGTGAACATAATGAGGGACATTTAAGTGTCTTTTTATTATTAGAAAATATGTACAGTAACATCTCTCTCTCTACATACAGCATAGAAAGTGATATTCCATCATCAATCAACATTAAGGATCAGCTTCCTGTATGGGCCTTCAGGTTTAAGTCTTATGTAATAGGGGAATGACCTCAATGGCTCTATGCTTCAGTTACATACATTTCATTCCCCCTCTTACATTTCATTAGTTTGGACATTTCTTACCATTTGCAGCTTCATAGAAAATGTTTGTCCCAAGACATGTTTATATTTTCTGTGCTTTAATTGATGGCTTCAATCACTAGAGGTTGCTACACAGTGGAAGCTAAGTTAAAAGTCGCCTGAGGTTAATATGATTTGAAAGATCACATTCTCCTGAGAGCATTTGAAAGGATTTAAGTCAGAAGCAGAAACAAGAGAAACTGAAAAACAGATGTGCATATTTTTGGCAGACGGGCATTCCCCTTAAAACAAACCTCATGTTCACAAAAATAAAATCCACCAACATTAATATTCTATTGAATCACTACTAGCACATCTACAGTGCTAATAAAAACACACACTCTGGTAGAACAAGATCTTTCTATTTACATATGTATATACTTCTATTCGAGCATCTATAGAAAGTTAAATAACAACTGTCTTCACTTGCCTTCAGAGTCCCCTTTCAAAGTAAGCACTTTTTGGGGGGGGTGTGGCACACTGTCAGTCTCAGGTAGTAATCTGTTTAGGTTGCTTGACACAGAGAAACAGCCTGGTTTGAAATGGTTTTCAAATGACAGTATTGCGTGTAGGTGGGAGTGTGTGTCCCGCCGATGAGCTTTCTATCGGCACTTCACCGTCCTTCACTAAGAACGGGAAGTAAGTAGAGCAGTAAAGCCCTTTGAACTTGGTGCTGCAGAAGCAGTAGACCAGCGGATCCAGAAGACAGTCTATGTAGGAGAGCACCATGAGGCCGTCGAAGAGCACCGCAGCTGTATTCTGCTGGGGCAGAGGCCATTCTTGGACGCGGGCAATCAGCAGAATCATCCTGGCAATGGTGCAGGGGAGGAAGCAGAGGGAGAACACCACCATGACGGAGGTCACCAGGAACACCGCTCGCTTCAGCTTCGTCCTGTTGCCCACAGTCTTTTTCCTGAGCCGGTTGACGATGTGCACGGTGCAGTAGACCAGGATGACGAAGGGGATGAGGATCTGGGTGAAGAAGACCACCTCTCGCAAACTGTCCACCACATCCTTCAATCAGAAAAAATATCAAGTTAATCGTCTTTCTGATATCAACAACAACAAATTCTCGTTAATACTTGGCCCTTGTGTCTCTACTCTCTACCAATTGTGTCAGTATCAGGACAGCATCGGTCAGAAGTTTAACCACTATTCTAAATATTTATTTCATGTAAAATCTTATTCTGTAAAGTAACAAGTAAATATAGTAAAGTAAAAAGCGCTAGACCAGACATTAGTAGTTGGCTTATTGATAAGTGGATCGCCAGAAAAATAAACTCCAAATATTTGTATGTTTGATGAAATGTTAAAATAATGGTAAAAGTCTCAAGAAGCTTTTTCCAAAATCACAAATATTGAGATGTCCTTCTTTTTCTAAATGTACTGTTTATCATATTGAACGCAACATTTTGGGGGTTTTAGTCTGAGTTTGATAAAACAGATTCAAAAATGTTTTGGTAACTGTCCATAAACATCATGTCTATATGACACTGACTCAATTTGGTTTGAGCTGTCTCTGTGATATTAGGTGCAGTTTGACACACTCCAGGTTTAACATATCTTAATTGTAGCAACACTATGTGCTGTGTCAGTGCAAAAATAGCTCTGGAATCAGACTTTATCTGCAGTAAGTGGTGCTGTTGAGTGATAATACTCCCTAAAACTGGACCCACATACAGTACGGCATTCCTGATTAGGCCTCTCAACACCGTACTCACATTGATAACATGATCATCTTTGTTACATTAGGCCAGTGGTTCTCAAACGTTTTCTGTCAGGCCCCCCCTTTGGAGAAAAAAAAAAGTCGGGCCCCCCCCAACACAAATAGTCAGGCTCAGTGGCGGCGCCAGAGATTTATTTTGGGGTGCTGTGGGGTAGCTTGACGTTTCATAGAGGGTGCTCAAACATTTAGGGTTTCCCATTAATGTAGCTGTCGATACAGTAGAATGTTCAACTACAACAATCCCCACGCACACATACACAGTGTACCCGCGACTGTTACAATGAAGGCTCGATAATCAGCTCACGGCATATAGGTGTAAGCAGGGGTAAGGTGCTATTTTTATAGGTGGTGTGTGGACCTCACATAGGGGGGTCCGGGGGCAAGCTCCCCGGGAAGATTTTTAAATATTGAAGTTGAAAGCATCAATCTGGTGCACTTTGAGAGCAACATGAAGAGATCTATGGATACATCTCTCAACACCCATTTGAAACAGAACTGTGAACAGATTTACTTTTTCTTTATGGATATTTTATAAATCACTCTTTTAAACTTTATTCTTGTTTTACTGTCATATAGTATTTCATACCTGTTTTTCATTTATTCTCTTATTTTTGTATAACTATAATGATCATATAAACGTGTGCCTCGGAAATAATTGTTTACATTAATGGTGACCAAAACGTTTGAGACCCACTGAGATAACACTGAGAGTCCTTTAGCTCACTGAGTCTCTCAGTCTGACAGGAGAGGACTCTCCTCCACTTTGTTGTTGAAAAAACTCTTTATATCCATTAGCGTAGCTCGCTAGCACCAGAAGCTAACAAGAACAATCTCCGGTACCGGTGCGCTCTCTCTCTCGCTCGTGCACGCACACAAAATGGCTCGTTCCACACACACACAGAGCCGAGCTTTAATGAAACACAGAGACCCAGACGTAATAGTACTGTATCATATTATTTTCAAACAATCATTTTTCTAAATATGATTTATTTTTTTTAATAACCATTTTCCCCCCCTGGTCTCTTGCTGTCATGCCTCTGCGCGCCCCCCACTTTGAGAACCACTGCATTAGGTTGAGAGGATGTTTCCACAGAACTGCTCTGCACTTTGTGTCAACTGTGTATTGCACAAATGAAGCAGCAGTTTGTCATTATCCAAATGTGCACACTCAGCACAGCGTTGCCACATTTGAGTGTGAGAAACACATGAATGAAACATACCCAAAACAAAAACATTACCAAGTAAATCCTAACCGTTTGGGATGAATTACTCTCATGCAGTTTAACCTAATTTTGGGGACTGATACTGAAAACCTACCAATAGAAAACTAACTTGTTAAAAGCGTTGTATACTGACGATTTACAATAATTACTTATTTAGTGAGTAAACCTTACCTTAATCAATATATCTTCTGGAGCATCTTCTGGGTTTTTGCCATGGCTGTTGCAGCAATCAAAGTTTTTGAGCATGGTGGGGATGGTGAGAGGCAGAAGAAGCAACCAGATGAGGATAGAGATATGAGGAGATTTCTTGAGAGCTCTTAAAAGATTCTTTCGACCTGGGTGCACCACGTTAAAATATCGATCAATGGAAGTGACCGTCAGGAAGGCAATGCTGGCCCCTCGGTTTAAAAACAACATGAACAGCATGGCTTTGCACACGGTGTCGTTATCACTCCTCCTCTCTCCTTGGATGAAGTGGAATGCCTTTATGGGCAAACAGAAGAGCAGGAGAATGTCAGCCAACACCAGGTTGAAGAGGAAGACGTTGTTGGTGTTGGATTTCCAGAATTTCAGCTTGAATATGAAGAGGTGGAGGACAGATGCGTTCAGAGGCAATGCCAGGATGAAAATCATAATTATGACAGCTGCATAGAATTTATACAGAGCCTTGTTTGTGGCAAGGCAGTCCTCAATACTTTGGTAGGGAGATACAGTGGTAAACATAGTGGTAAGTAAAGTGGCGTTTGCCATTTTAACAGTGAAATACACTTTCCTGTGTTCGAGCAAAGTGTTCTCTTTTAATCTGACAAGGAAATCCTGGCAAACGTGAAGTCTCACCCACAAAACAAACTTGCCAAACAGGTTTTGCCAATGCCTTCCTGTTTTACTCCTCTTTTAGGTTTTAAATGTCCTCGTGTGTTTTTCCGTTTTCAAAAGTCTTTGGTGTTAGGATCTCCTGAGCCTTGGAGTGATTCTCTCAGAGTGCAGAGCAAAAATGCTTCACGGTTTCTTTGAGTTTTGTTGCAGTTCAGCCCCTGTGCTTGTAGCTCCGCCTTCCACTGTAGCCTGAGGAGGTGAGTCAACAGCTGCTTTTCCAATGCTGGATCAGTGGTCCTAACAAGGAGTAAAACCAGCCTGTTACATTTGAAATACATAATACTAAAAGACAGTTTCTTACCAACAATATAGGACGTATTAAACATCAAACTAAGCACAAAGGTGGTGTCTTTAAGAGATGAAACTCAGTCAAAGTATGCGCGCTGTGCTAAGCCCTGACAAGCCCTTATGAAAACATTCTGTTACTGATTGCTAAAACTGATTTGACTTTTGACAGGCAGCCAATGGTACATTTCATATTCCTTCAATGCATAATCCAATTTCCTGGCACAAACTGTGAGAATAACCGTTGTTCTACTCTTGAGGGCTCAGTAAATCCCAGAAGTTACTGAATGACAGCTTTCAAACACTTCCGCTCTTTGCTCTCTGTTCAATATTGTGCGTTCTTCACAGATGCTAAAATGCTAAAAAGGGACATTTTAGGAACTTTGTCCTTAGAGTAAGCAGATGTGGCTCCCTGGGAATTGATGATGAATGCACGTGTACGCATTGAGTAGATGGATATAGTGCTGCTGTCATTTTGTTCTACTATGTAAGGAAAAGTCAATGGGGTTGCAAGGAATGTTGAGTCCTAAGGGAGGAGAAGGGGGGGATAGCTTTGGGCCTCTCACTCAACTCTGCATGCCTCAAACTGCATGCTTCAAACTCCTGCGCGACTGCAGCTACAAGTCCAGACAGCTCGCAAGATTAAAACAGGTTTTGGAGACGTGGGCAGGACATGACCTCGTGACTAGGTTCACGAACACTTCACTTTGTTAGAAATCAATGAGTCTATTCTCCTGTTTGTTTTGTGACCATGTATCCCTTAATCCCTATGCTTTATAGCTTGAGATGATTAATGCTTTATTTAGCTTTGATCTAAGATTTATATGTGAGTTTGATTCAATTTAAATTGTCTTGAATTTAAAGGTGTGAGATCTTTACCTTTTATGATCATTTATCTTCCCTTCTCCTCCAGTCAGACAATGATTCTCTTTAATTGGTTTAGTCCGTTAACAATGCAGAGGATAAAAGTGTAATTGAATGCCCTCTGTATCTACTCAACAGCCTGACTTTAGCTACCAGCAAGATACGTTTTATGATAAGGATTGATAGTAGGGCAATTTCATGTCGTAATTTAAAGGTCCCATGTCATGCTTTTCCGGTTGTTACCCGTCCTCTTGTGTGTTATGTAGCTTTGTATGCATGTAAAAGGTCACGGCCCGTCCACACAGCAGCGTTAAAATGCTATTGCTTTGTATGTCGGGGGCGGGAGATTCATGTGATTGGTTGTTGGTCGCGTTGCTCGCAAAAAATCCCCAAGCTTCAGATACGCCCACCTCCAAGATTATTTTAACGCTGCTGTGTGGACGTACCGTCAGTCACAAACCCTCAAAGTACACCCGAGTAAAACTCTAACACAGAAAATACCTGTCTGTGCTGCCCCAGAATACCTCGTTGGAGATTTCTCTTTTTCAATTGTTTTATTCCGGGAACCAAGTGACGTAACGACAACCCCTCCGTGGATTGGTCAACATGGACCAATCCGTGGAGCCGTTACGTTACGTCCGTGGATTGGTTCCAAATTGACCAACCCGTGGACTTCCTCACACACTCAATCTTTTCTCAGCTGCAGCTCCGCCGATTTCTCCTCCCTGAGACGGCGGGACGTGCCGAGGCTGTGAGTCGGTGTGTGTGTTCGTGCTGTGTCTCGCAGACGGCCACTGGGCTCATAGGGAGGGGGGGGGGGGGGGGCAGGAGCTCCAACAAGCCGTTTAGGACAGAGAGTGAATACACATACTATACAGAGATGCTGTTTGAGAAACCAATGTGAGTTTGGAAAATTGCACAATGTAAATCTATTCTAGTCGACCTCAACAATGGAACTATGATCAGTAGAAATGGCCATGACATGGGACCTTTAACCTGTTAAGCCCCGAAGGGTCCTTTTTTTTCTTTTCTGATACACTCAGGGGATCTTAATATTTAAGAACCTATTAACAGGGTTGGGAGGGTTACTTTGTAAATGTAATCAGTTACTGATTACTGCATACATGGCTCTGAAAGTAATCCGAATACAGTTACAGTTACGTGTCTTAAAAAACGTAATCAGATTACTTTTAGATTACTTTTGGATTACTTTCTTTTTCCTTCACAGATGGGTATGTTTTGGTGAACAGGAGACACAAAAAGCAAAAGGACACTGAATGTGTTTTTACTGTTTTAATGGCTTATCAAGAGCACAACTGAAACATAACATCTGAAACGATGTAACAACATAATAAACTTTTTGGGGATGCAGCTTGGGATGTGAGGAGTGAGGGACACGGCTTAGAACGAGCGTGTCGCCTTCTGTCCTGCCAGTGTTGGCAGGACATGAATTAAAATGTCAAACTCGGCCTTCATTTTAAGGACATTTCGGCCAGGGGTTTAGAGCTATATTTGTTTAAGCACCAGATGAGAGTGTGTGCACCAGTCTGCCTTCATCTATGAATTCATGTCCGTGACTCTCACAGTATCTGCTGCCCACAGCTGTTTTATAGAAGGAAAACCTCCTTCACTTCATGAAATCTCTGCAGCACCAGGAGGCAGCGGGAGGGTTAACTCAGCCTCTGAGAAGACGAGCGAGCAGTGCCTTTCACGCACCGCCTTTCACGCACCGTCCGCCTTCACTGTGTTTACCTTCAGAAATAATCATTAGTAAGGCTAAAGAAAGAGCGACCGCAGGCTGATGTGTTTTAACCACACACACACACACGCGATTTAAACGCAGACTTTTGTTCCTCCATGTTTCGTTGTTATTGTTTCACTGAGCGGTCCCGCGATTTTTTTTCAAACGCTTTTTTGGTCCATCTGCGGCGGTAATAGGTTTTGTGGGCTTTGATGATTCGGCTGTACCTTTAGTAATGAATATTAAATGTTGTGAGGAAATCTTTCCACCAATAATTCCAATAAGTAATCCAAAATGTATTCACTTCAGGTTTACGAAAGTAACTGTCATCAGATTACTCGTTTTTCAAATGTAACGCGAGCTGAATACAGTTACTTGATTTTTGTATTCTGATTACGTAACGCCGTTACATGTATTCCGTTACAACCCAACCCTGCCTATTAATGTGTTAGTTATACCAGATTAACGGGAATAATCTCAGCTAATTGACGATACAAACCATTTTTACCAAAACAAAACACAAGTCTCATAAGAAGCATCTAAATGACCCCTGAGCGAAAAATGCTAACGCACTTTGGCACAGAACTCAAGATAAAAGATACCCTTATTACTTATCGTAGCTGCACTTACAAGATATCCGATTAAAGCTGAGGTTCCACAGATTATTTAGGTATATATATCATCACTGAGTCATCCGGACTCTTGACAGGGGAAGCAAACACAGACATCACAACACGTACCTTTACGGAGCTTTTACGGGAGATCGTCTCACCGTAGCTGTCAATCTGATCAAAATAATTGTTCAATGGCATTAAAACGAGAAAAAACGCGGCTGAATCGGTTAATCCATAGGTTGATAATGTTTCTTTGGAATATGTTTTTTTATTTATAATCCATAATTCAATTTTTATGTAAAAATCGGAGAGTAAAAGTTAGATGCTAATGGTAGCCACCAGAGTTATCGCAGCTTCCGGTCTTGGCTATGCGGTAGTCTCACACACACACATTACCAAATAAGGAGTATGTGGGAGTTCCCTTCGATTCCATTGGCTCTGACGGTTAGAAAGAGATGTCAATCAGCAAAATCGACCAAGGGGGGCCAGAGATAGGTCAAATCCACCCAAATGACCCCAGAAGTGTTTTTTTTTGCTAAATCTCTCTAAAAAGGTCAAATTTCCCTTGTTTTGCATCAATCTTGATACAGGGTACTTATTATATGTTGTAGTTTGGATTCCTAAAGCTTTTAGTCTACCATCCCATCATCCAAGGGTGGTTTTCACTATAAGTAATTTTTTGGACGGACACAATCATTTACATTTTCTTACTGTGTTCAATCTGAATTTACTTTAAAATAAAAACATCTATATTGATTCTGACACTTCTACATCCAACTCACAGGTGTAACCTTGCTTTGAGAAAAAAGATTATTAATTTAACCCTTTTTAGAAGGGAATATATGGTCATTTGTTCTGGGAATGTCATTTTCGAGCCTAAGACCTGAAAAACAGGCTCAGGGCTAAACAGGTTAAAGCTTTCCCTGCAATTATGGGAAACACAGACGCGTTGCTTTGAACTTATGATTCATTTACGGGCAATACGATACTCTCAATATATTGTTGTATTTCCTTGTTGCTACAGAGCAAATTAGGGAAGAGCTCATTCTCATTTATAATAAATGAAATGTGGTTTCTGTCTACATGTCATTGTGCTTCTCCAGTATTTGTGCTGTTATTTTAATTAGCAGAGTTGGCTCATAACATGTAAAAGCCAAGATGATTACTTTCATATTGCAGCATCAATGTGGCTTCTACAGATGCCGTTCCAAAGTCAGTAAAAAGCTGATTATTTAAATGTTTGAATAACATGTACTATTCAAATTATAAACATGGCATTTTTCAACAATCATTATAAAAACAAGACTTCTTCCAGGTAATTATTTTTGTTATTGAAATCATGGCTTGTTTATTGTGAGTGTTGGATGCAGCAGGAATCTGAGCGGTGCGGCATCAGAGGAAGACGATGCTTAGCCTCTCAGACAGATTAACAATCAGACCAGTGTTCTCACTTGTAAAGCAGACTTGTGACTCCAGTAACACTCAGTGTAAAGTTGTACCTGCTACTATAACTCAAAGCTGTTCAGAGATTTCTCGCTGTCATCCATACTTTCTCACAGGAGGCTGAGATGTTTAGCACATACTTTTGGCTTCAAGCGTGCACACAGTGAAGCTTTACTTCATGTGTTATCCA